AGCACACGCATGAGAAGAGGAACATGTAAGAATTAGGAAATGGCAGAACACAGTTCAGTTCGGGACGTAGGCTGAACGGTGAGTAGGACCATCTAATTAAGACTTTCCATTGCTCCTGCAGTTAAATTTAGGAGGAGAACACTGCATTTGTGACAGCCTCTTAATGTTGGAAGGGACAGTCCAACCGTCATGCTGCCCTCTTTTCTGGGACAGTCATCCAACTGGTACTAGAACATTCTTAGTGACAGAATTCATGACCGTGCTGAGTGGTCCCTGTCATGTTGGAACCTTCCATAAAAGCTCTTCCTTAAATTGGCCTACAACTTGTCTCTACATATTTTTGACCTCGTGGTTCTAGTTTTACCTCCGGTACTCGGTTCAACCCACCTGGATCATCCTAACTCTTCAAAAAAGACCCACGTCTTGCCCACGCAAAGGGATGTCCTGTCCTTCCGCAGCCTTCCTTCCCGGCCACGGCTGCCGTGCACACCGGTGAACCCCCCTTGTGTGGGTCCTTCCCGGTGGCCCATGCTGGCAGCTCCCTCACCTCCGCGCTCAGGCCCGAGCCCTCCGGCCCCGGCAGCACACGCGGGCGTCGGCCAATGCCAGGGCCCTCACCTCTGCCGGCCAGGGGACAGCCCTCCGCCATTCACTGACATCAACTGCCCATTCCCCTTTAAGATGCGAGGGTGGAGGGACCTCAGAAGTGAAAGGGACAGTTCCGATTACAGTCTGCCGAACACGCCAAGTGACCTTGGAGAGGCAGCGTCTGTTTAGACTCCAAATCACGTCTTTGTGTAAACCGGCCTTTCCGTCGGAAAACCGCGAGGCATGTCTGCGCATAGGATGGCCCTGCACACGGCCTCCCCGGCTCATTCTGAAATGTTCTCATGTGTGTTAATCCCACCGGGAACTTGAGGACTTTTCTTTCTTTTTTTCCTGCTTCCCTCGCCCCCTCCTCCTCCCCTGGGAGGAACAGAAAACAGTACTGACATTATCCAGAGAGGCCGATGGCAGGGAATGGAGCTTCTGGGGGAGGAATATCCATAGAACAGATCGGCCCCCTGCCTTATCGGTTCCTCTCCCTTAACCGTCATGCTGTGAGACCCTCTGAGGCCGGATCCCCACGCAGGTTCCCCCAGCGGGAACCCTGCACACCGGCTTTTCAGTGGGCTGGGCAGTGGAGACTGCACACACACACGTGATACATACACACGCACATTCATACATGCATGCACTATACCCATGTGCCACACACATGTGCACACATACATGGGTGTCCAGTGTGCGTGGGCTTTATATATGGCAGCAGGTCATCAAAGTGGGAAACTACTCCTTCGTTCAAGGGTAGTCCTTGTCTGCTCCTGAACTCTGCTCAAAACTCCATGAATAGTTCCTGTGTTATCTGCCTCCGCATAAGTCACTGGAGAGAATTCTGAGCCTCAGTGTGACCAGAGCCAGTGCAGGAACACAGTAGACACTGGAGATGGTGCAGAGAACAAATGGGGAAAATCAATACCCAAACATCCAATATCTTCTAAGCATGCGACAGACTTGCTGAATAGCACAATTATGTCCCTGCCCTGGCACACTGAATTTCTGGACTGAGAGACGGACTGGATGTCTCAACAACTATACCCAATTATTTTTCCAAAAATAATTTTCTCCACAAAAATAAGGGCCTTTCAAAACCATGTTCAAATAAACACGTCTGTCGTGATGTTTCTGATGCAGCATGAAAACAATCTCAATTTTCCATTATTCTGATAAAACATGATCACCTCTCTTCCCCCCCGCCCCCCACGCAAAGTGTTTATAAACGAAATACTAAATTGTTCCATCGCTTCGGTTGTTTTGCTGGAGGCTGAAATGAAGCCAACAGCTATACCTTCCAGAACTCCCTATTTGCTGACTAGTTTTAAAGACTATTTAGCTCTCCCAGCTTGAGGCCACCATGCCTGAATTCCACAACTTCTCGAAGGCGACTGGTGGTGATGAGGCAAGTTACAGCTGTAACGTCCCTGAACATCCTAGAGGACACGGGCCTCCTCTCATTTCGTGGCCCTGAGACCCGGAGAACAGCTGAGGACGAGCGCTGTCCTTCACCGAGGACCAGATACGCGTGTCCGTGTTCGCTGGGACCCAGTCGCCGATGCTCTGTTTCAAGGGCTGTTTCTTTTACACGTTATATTATTTAGTAAAAACATAAAGTCCATTTATTTTATTGCAACATATTCTTTTCCACCCAAAGGGGAACTTTTTCCTTTAAACGCAGAGCGATCGGCCCCTCTGTCTCACCAAAACGGCCGCAGGCCCCTGTCATCGGGCCCAGGTCCGACCTGCTCTTACACTCCCGCAACATCTCACCGTTTTCTTCTTTCGGAGCCTCGGTTAAGCACCTCTGCCTCCCGCCTGCCCCGCAGCCCCTGGAGACCGGGCACCATTTTCTCCCCACCGGATGATGGAAAACTGAGAACAAATCTTTTTTGTTGCACTTTCCCTCTCTCTTGGTTTGTGTTGCCATTGAGAGCATTTGCCCCATCTTCCACCTGGGCTCCCAGACTGTGACAACAGGAAAGGAATCTCGCATTTCTTCTTTTCCAAAGAACCCGTGGCCGACCGCACCTCATGTAAAAACACTTAATGTGTGTTTGCCAAGTCCTTGCACTATACTGTGGGGGGAGAAAATATAAGTCAAAGGCTCTGCTCTTTTGGAACAGGGGCACGGTATAAAATCACAAGTTATCTAAGGGGAAGAGGGACTACGGTTGTAAATGTAAACTAACCATGACAGTCGTCAGTGTGAAGGCACTCAAGGGCGCCGTTGGAGCCTTCGGGCATCATTCCCATACCACACCGCGGCGGGCTGGCCCGCGGCAGAGGTCTACAGAAATAGAGAGGCCAACAAAGAGGGCTTTCTTAAACGTGCCTGTTTAACTACCTGTGGTTAATGGTTGAAAATTCAATGTACTGAAATAGAAGCGGGCGGCTAATTTAAAATTTTCCAAGCATTCTTTTCTGACTTTCACCAGCACTCTGTGCTCACCTTTAATCTTTGTGACCAGCGTCTAGAGAGAGGCGGAGCTGGTTCTTAACTTTCGCTCAGCGCCTGACACCAGATAGGTCGCTATAAAACACTACGGGGCTGAGTGAAGCCAGGTGTACGGGGCGGAGGCCCACATTCTTTTAAAAAGAATGCAAAACATCACAGACAAACTTAGGTAGGAAAACACATTTACATTTACAATGTTAGAAAGATGGGGACAAATGCTTGGAGCCTGGGAGACCTAGCAGCCGTTCTTCTGAGGCAGCTGGAGGCAATTAGCAGAAATGCTCATTTACAACCGCTGCGGGGTGGTATTTTTCCCTGCTTAATCCCTTCACCTTTTTCACCCCGCCCCCCACCCTCCCCGGCAGCTGTCAGTCTGTCCTCTGTGTCCAGGAGTCTGTTTCTCTTCGGTTTGCTAGTTTGTGAGTTTATTAAGTTCATTAGATTCCACGTGAGTGAAATCACATGGTACTTGTCTTTCTCTGACTGGCTTATCGCACTTAGCATAACGCTCTCCAGGTGCCTCCGTGAGATTTCGCTTGAAGCCCGTATGGTTCTGTTAACCAGTGTCACCCCAATAAATTCAATTAGACTAGAATTGAAAACCACTTCTGGCTGCCACCTGTCGTTCCCTGCCCACCTAGAACACGTACAGCTCCCAGGAACTCCCAGCGTTTCCAGAGGCCTAAGCAAACGAACCCCTAAAGCTTCAACGTCATTAGCTTCACCTCAGGTCTGCCTGACACCCGGGGCTGGCTGAGAGTGGGCTGGGGCACTTGGAATCTGGGGCAAGCACTCATGTGACCCGCTGAAAAGGCTCCCATGTGACTCCGATCCAGAGCTGCCTCTCCCATCACCTGACCCCTCCCAGGCTGGAAGTTGCACAACGCAGAGCCGTCCAGGGCACTTTAGGGACTAAGAGCACCTTAGAAGGCAAGCAAAGAGGAGGCCAATTGTCCTTCACTGAAAATAAAGTGTGTGTGGAATAAAAGGCAGCGTTAACGTGTTGCAAGGGAATCTACCTAAGTCCATCGTCTTACAGTTTAAACCCACTGAAAGGTCAAATGACTTTAGCGAGCGAACAAGACGGCCGCTGGCCGACCACCTGCACTGCAGCCTGGCCCTTGTCTTCCACTTCCTTTGAAGGGGAGACAGAGTTTTACGCATTCGCCGTTTGGGCCGCAGTATAGCTGTTCACTTTCTAACTTCAGTCGTCCTCCCAGAATTAAGCAATGGTTACATCCGTTGCTCTGCCTGACACCTCAAGGTTGACACCTACCCACTGCCCTGGCGTCTTAGTAACAAATACCATGTTGTCACCTCACGTCTTCTACCAGCTCCGAGAAATGCCACCAGGGTGGCATTCGAAGGCCCCGCAAGAAAGGCATTTTTCTTTTGCAAAAAGAAATCGCACCCACAGTCCACACACACACTCTAGTCCACCACGAACCAGAGTCGGCTTCCGACTACACTACACGTTAGGAGGCCAGGGTCTTAGATGTCCCCTGGGCCAGAGGCTGTGGGTCTTGTGGCTGCGGCTGCTTGTCTGAGATCCTGGGCTCCGTAGCGTAGCTTCCTGTTGGACCCACGAACCTGCTTCTCCCTAAGAGGGGGCCCCGTGGCACCTAGCCCCGCTAGACTTGAGACGCACCCCGTACCAAATCCACAACCAGCCAGACTAGATCAGGCTGGCTGCGCCCGAAAGAAGCTGCTAGGGGCGGAGCACTTTGGGTCACCGCCTCCCGGTTCGGGCACTGTCCCCAGAAGTCCGCATCGGAGAAGCGAAGAGAAAGAGATCCAAGGGGCAAATCACAACTTTGCAAACTCCACGTAGCGACAGACCTGCCCCGCGAGAGGTCAAAGTGCAGGCAGAGAAGGGAGCGGCGGCAGGACCCACCCACCTCCCGCGCCCGGGGCGCACGGGAACTTTCGGGGGCGCCGCCGCGCTCACCTTACTGAACACCTCCAGGTCGTCCTCGTCCCCGTCCAGGTCCAGCACCTCGGCCGGCAGCAGGGCGGAGGGGCTGTCCCCGCCGCTGCCCCCCGCCGGGAGGCCCGAGGAGCACTCCGGAGCCGCGGGGAGCTCGCCCTCCATCCCGACAGTGCGCGCCCGCCGCCCGCCGCCGCCGCCGCCCTCCCGGCCCCCGAGCGCGCCCATTGGCTCCCGCGCAGCCCGGCCTCCGGCCCCGCTCCAGCCCCTCGGCCGCCGCGCAGACGCGGAACTGCCGCCCGGCTCGTCCCACCTGGCCCGGGGCCCGGCCGCGGCGCAGGCTCCGCTCGGGCGCAGGGAGGGACTCTGCTCTCCGAGGGCCGGGGCTTGTGGGCGCCCTGGCCAGGTCCCGGCACCGACGCGGCCCCGGCGGCCCAGCGAGCGTTTCCGCGCGCGCGTGCGCGCGCGGGGAGGGTCCTGGCTTGGCGACCCGTCAACTCAGCGGATCGGCGGCGGGGCTGGAAGGCGGCCACCAGGCTGTCCCGCCCAGAGAAAAAGCCGATACTGTATTTCCTGTGTGTTAATGGTTGCCTTTCTTCTTGGTGTGGTTTTCGACTCTTTCACTAAGGCCGATGCTGCGGGAAGAAAAAAAAAAGACGCGAAAAGCTCTTCTGTTTCGGCATTGATTTTTGACCCAGTGACCGGATTGTGTGGTCATGGGACTGTCAAGACAGGGAAGTTGGATTGAAAAGCTATTTTCAGCCACTTTCAAATGTAATCCTATATTCCGGGAAGCCTTCGTGAAGTTCATGAGCAAGAATCAGGGAGCAGGACTGGCCACTGCCAGCAAGAAATGACCTGCAGCCTCTGCCACTGCAGAGTTGTGATTAGTTGTTCGCTGCTTTTTATTTTTCAAAAAACCCCAAGCTCCCAAAGTCGTGGGAAAACTGAGTGCAAATTGATATATTTTGGAACTGTCCTCAGGCTTTGTTTCCCGGACCCAGGCCTGTTCTCCCAAAGGCCCTGGGAAGGGTGTCTGAGGAGTCTGCAGGCGGCCAGGGAGGGGCTGGCTCGGACTTGAAGTCTCAAACCGTTGCTGGCAAAAGACGTAGCCCAATGTTTAAACCTGTTTAACTTTAAACAGATTAAAGATAGATGTAAGGTAATTGGGGGGAAGCAGAATCGCCCAATTTCCGATTACAGGACAGGCCTTAATAATGTATTCCCTCTTAAGCAATCCGACGTTGCTCCCGTAGGTTTCCGCTCCTGCCACACTTCTCCGGTCGCAGTGGCCTCAGGCCCGTGACTGTCCAGTGTCCTTCCTAGGCTTTACGGCCCCTGGTCCCAAAATGCTGTCCCCTGCCCATCCTTCGGGAATTAACTACACGCCGCCCCCCCCTTTTCAGGATGACTTTGCAAGGGACCCAGTCTACTACCAAGTCAGCATTTCATTTTATTCCATCGTATCGATTGTATTTATTTCATGTAAATGCCTTACATTCTTTGGCAAACCGTAACATTATAAGGTTAGCGATTGCATTATTTATTAATAAACCGTGATATCTAATATAGTCGCTTAGAAAGCCCCCCTGCTGAGGCCTATAAGGAATACGAGTTATTAAAAGACGATTTTTTCCTCTCCCTCTCTAAGCTCATTCTGGCCCCTAAGGAAGTTCACGGTTTTCTCCCGCAATCCGAAGCGGGAACTCCTTTGGACACCGCGACTCAGGGCATTGCCAGAGAGCACAGAGCGCGGCTCAGGAAACGGGCAGAGCCGACCCGGCTGCGCCGTCGGGAACCATGGGGAACGCGCCGTAGACCTGATGGGGCGCCCACGGCGCCGCCTTTGCCGACCGCGGGCCGCCCCACCACTTCCGCAAACTGCCACGGCCGCTGAGGCCACGGATGCCAGGCGCTGTCACCCACGTTGGCAGGGCAGCCGTCTCTGCCGCACGGTCCGATTTCTCCGTGTTCACAGTTCTAGTTTCCAAATCCAGGAGGCCAGACCTCCTTGGGCCCCACCCATGGCCACGTCTCCAGGAGGTTCCTAAGTCAAACAATTTTCCCAATATGGAAGAGCCGCATTCATGCTGCTCAGCCAAAAAAACGCCACACAAACAGAAACCCTACTGTGCTTCCCAACATTCATAAGACGTTTCCTTACACACGTCTTTTCACCGGGTTCCTCAAGCCCCGAGGAATACAGTCCCCAGCTCCCCAGAGGAAGAGACGCCGCACCTCCCCCAGGGACAGCTCAGGTCTGCCCCGAGTCCCCTGCCTTCCCATGGAATAATGAGTTCGCCCAAGGGTGTGTGGCTTCAGAAGTTGCCATGCACTAGATCCATTTTTTTCAGAAGCCATAACCCAGTTTATCAAAAGTCTGAACCAAGAGGTCCTGAGGTGCCTGTGACTTGCAGGAACATTGTATGCATCACAGTGACATGCAAAATGGCTGGTAGAGTCAATGTTACACAGCGTCAAATTGGTATATTATGTTCTAAAGGTCCTATTGTTAGGTGCTCATAGAAATGATCGCCTATTAATTTTCCGTGTTGGCATATGTGTTATTTTTTTTCCCCAATGAGATCACTAGATGCCAGTGAAATTATTGCTGAGTACCATCGAAAATAAACAGCCTCAACTGAAGTCTGGCCATACAGACCTAACGTGAGAAAGTTATTTTAAAACAGAATATGGTTTCTAAGGCTCTTAAGAGACTCCAGAGTGTCCTTTTCTGCCTGGGTGTCTGCAAGTCATAGGCTCGGAGAGGCCATCTTTTTCTCGTCTATGGGGGAGGGGTAAATTTTCTCAGAAGTGTCATATCTTATGTGTCAATCAGCTTCCGAATAAACAACAGCATATGAGGGAAATGTTCTCTATGTGGGTTGAGGTTGGTAACAGGTGTATAAATAAACATTGGACAAAAACCCAAAGGCCAGAGGGAAGAGATGCAATCGTGTGGTAAGGTGCTATGCTCAGGGTAGAGCGGGGAAGCCTCAGGTAGAGGCAGACTGTGCAAAGTTATGGGGGGGGGGTGCTGTAAATGCTGGGTCAACCACCACAACGATGGGGCACAACGTTTAATGAGTCAGCAAAGAAAATGAAAGGAAATAATAGAAAATGCTCAAGTCATAATAAGGCAAAAAGAGGGGAAAGGAGAAAAAAGCAGGAATGACAAATAGAAAATAAATAGTAAGAAAAAAACCCAGATGGTATAAATAGAAACAAATGCTGCTGCTAATCCAAAGCAAGCTAGTGTAGCTATATTAAAATCAGAAATGGTAAATTTCAAATTAATATAAATGTTATGCTTTAAAAAGTAACTTCATAATGATAAAGGTGTCAATTCACATGAGATAACATTCCTAAACATTTATGTACCCATTAATGGAAATTGAAAATAATGAAGCAAAACTCAGCAGAACTGTGAGAACTATTGAGATAAATCCACAATTACAGGGGCTGATTTCAGCTGCCCTCTTGCTGAATGGATAAAAGAAGTATTTGGTACAATGGAATGCTAGACCAGTAAAGGTAAAGAAACTCAAATAACACTATCCACTAACCAGACCTACAGACCTTTCTGAAACACTTTACCCAGAAAGAGCAGAATACATACGATTTTCAAATGCACACAGGACATTTGTCAAGATTGCCATATTCTGGGCAATAAAACAATTCTTTCTCAATTTAAAAGGATTGAAATCATTTGAAGTATGCTGTCTTACTGCAATGGAATTAACTGGAAATCAAAAATTAGAAACCTCTCTGGAAAATCCCCAAATATTTGGAAACTGTTTTCATCAAAAAATACTACAAAGAAGTAGAACTGTTAGGAGATCTCTATAAGAGTGAGAGAGAGAGGTTGAGATTTTAAGGACTTGCCTCTTTGGCTGATGGGATTGTGGGGACTTGCATACTTGGAATCTGTAGGTCAAGCCAACATTCAGCCTACTAGGCATCCAGGTGGGAGCTGATGTTACAGCCTTGAGCCAAAGGGTGGGAACTCAAGCAAAATATCTAGGTTGCAATCTGGAGGTAGAATTCTTTCTTCTTGGGGGTACCTAAGTCTTTGCTCTTAAGACCTTCAACTCATTGCATAATATCTACCCAATTATGGAGGATAATAGGTTCATAATTAATTTAGGTCAACAGATTATAAATGTTAATTACATCTAAAAAATACCTTTACGGCAACATCTAGACTCATGTTTGCCCAACTAACTAGTCACTATAGTCTAGACAAGCTGACAAATAAAATTCACCGTCACAGGAAGTAAATAACATACCTGTAAATTACCCATTGGTCAAAGAAGAAATCATAAAAGAAACTAGAAATTTTTTTTGTGTAAATGAAAATTAAAACAGGTGGGATCAGCAAGAACAGCTCTTAGGGATAAATTTATGCCACTGAACATTAATGTCGGAATTGAATGAAGATCCTAATCAATTACTTCAGCTGCAACCTTAACGAACTACAATAAGAAAAAGAGGAGCATATGAAACCCAAGTAAATTAGAAGAAATAATAAAGGTCATAGTGAAAATCAGTAAAATATAAACCAGAAATGCCTATTATTTGAGATCAGTAAGACTGATAAACCTCTACTCAGATCAGCCAAGTAGAAATTAGAGAAGATACAACTTATCAATATCAGGAATAAGGCAGATAAAAGTTTAACTCCTTCAGATACCAAAAGGATGAGGGAATTTTATGAAAGCCCATGTTATTTAAATCAACAAATTATATGAAATTTAATTGGTAACCTTCTAAGAAAAGGAAAAGAGGGAGATAAAGCTCTAAAGAAATAATTAAAAAGAAATGTCCTCCCCAGATATTTTATAGAATGTTCAGTGGTTTAACTTTATTTGGTGTTTTCTCATGACTAGATAGAAGTTTGGCAAAGAATGCCACAAAGATAAAATGTTTCCATATCGCATGTGCTCTTTTATAATCAAACTTTCCCCCCATCTCTGTCCCAGGCAATCACCGATCTATATCCTCTATAGTTTTGTTTTTCACAGGAAGTCATATAAACAAAATCATATGCCTTATAGACTACTTAGCTGGCTTCTTTCACTTAGCAAAATGCATTTAAGCACTATCCATGTTTTTATGTTAATCAGTTCATCACTTTTGATTGCTGAGCAGTCGTCCATAATAACACT